TTTGGGGCAACCAAAGATAACGGAGAAGCTGCATGTGGAGGTGTTTACATGTTTAGTTTATTCTAACGATCAAAAGAAAAGTTTAGAAGCTTATTGTCAGGGTCCATCTGCAAAATAGGAAAAACAATTTTTCTCCTTTCAGAAGGTAGTAAGGTGAAATAACACACAAAGGGGATAAAAAAGGTGGTCCTCTGGGTTATTTAAGTGAATCATTAATGAAGTCCAGAATAGAAATATGAGAGTGAAATATGTAAACGAGACACATTTACAATTTCAAGTGGATTAGTAAACGCATTAAAGTAGGCATATAGTCCATTCTGGTCCGATTGAATAGTGATTGAAGTAAATGTATATTAGAATCAAGTAGAAAGAGACCAATTTAATTAAAATAAATAATAGGTACAAAAATGTAGATAGAGCAAAGTAAGGGGCTTACTCTGCGTCATGTTGCACGCCACCTCCCAGAGAATAATATCCCCACCTGTAGACCCGGTCGCTACCAGTCCTGAAATCGAAATAAAAAACAGTGAACAAACGAAAGAATAGTAAAGAAGGATATCGAAATTGCAGGAACCGCGGAAAGAGTTGTTTTGACGGTGAATGTATACTTCCCGGGATCAACTATCTCTCTATGGCCTGTTTAGCTGAGGGAAAAACAAGGGTAAAAGTAGGCGCAAAAATACCAATCCGCCGCTCACAAAACCATAGCTCAATGAAGAGTACAATAGGGCATAGAAGTAGTCTGACTTCGTTTAAGCGACTTGATCATGTTGTCAGGGCGACATAATTGGACGCGCCTTATCCGAAATCCTCTGCGAAGGTAGTTATCATAATTCCCAGTTGTAGTTAGGTTTTGAGAATGGCAAGACTCACTGACGATGTCTGCGAAACGTCTGAGAATGTACCAAGTTTACGGTTCAACGCTGGGAATTATTATAACTACTATGGCAAAGGGTCAAGGACAAAGCGCGTCCAACTAAGTCAAGTAGCGAAGACGAGGTTAGGTCACATCTGTACATCGAAAAGAGACTGCGAACAAAATAGAGGCCACAACATCTTGGTCCTCATAAGTAGCATATTGTGCTGGAGCCAGAAAAATGGGACTGAAGCCGCAAGATATGGCTCGAATTGGTGGCACATTCCGAAGAGAAGATGTATCGTTGGACTGTATCGAGTCCTCAGCGGCGGCTTAAAAGGAATGAAAGCAGCAGTAGGGCAAGTTGGGAATAACAAGACACTAGGATCGAGATACAGAAGATACGCTCTCTGAACTGCAGTTGCTAACGAAAGAAGGGGTTAGGTAGGTCCGAGCATATCTCTTGATTGCATTTAGCAGCGATAGGCCGTCAAATAAAGCAATTAAAAAATGAATTCATACTAGCAACTCCAATTCTATTTTTGTATTGGAGTAGAGTTTCGAGACTACCAGTAAATCTGTAATATGAGATGTATTCACCCTATTTCGTCTAAGCTGATGAAGGAATGGTAGTAGGATTTTCCCACAATGATACAGCTGACGTTTCCATTGAATTTCACATAGCCTTGCTTTCTCAAAAGTTGTTCTCATCCAGGGTGGACTGCCGGTCTTATCAACACCCTGCACTGTTGCGGTTCGACTCCCGCTCAACTCATATCATTATGGGAAAATCCTACTACCATTCCTTCATCACTTTAGACGAAATAGGGTGAATACTCCAAATTTAGCCTCAAGACAAACAACAAAAGTTACATGAACCCAGCCCTCTCTCGAGGAGGTCTAGCAAAAAGGTATATTCGAAGCATTGGGAAAAACTTCCAGACCAATAAAAATCATAATCTTCAGGCAATGAATACGTATACAATTGTTGTTCTGACATCTTTTCAACTCAAGAAGCTATAGTTAAATGTAAAAAAGGATCAAATGCATTTTGAACCCTTTTTCAACAAGATCCCCACACAATTAGGATGCCCAATTCGCTTCTACAGTGGCCCCAATCGAGCGTGATTTTGTGCCCAGAGAGCCTAGGAAACCATTCCTACTGGGAAATAGGCACCGAGTGGGAAATACTGGGAAATCCGATTGAGACCATTACTACAAACGTTGGCTGGGTGACTCAATTATGATATTTCGACAGTTCAACTAAGTTCGTCACATCATTCTGAGGAGAGGTCAAGGCTTTTGAGGCCGGCTCGGTAGTGTCTGTATCAATAATCTTATGGGAAGGATACAAATCAGGTGTGAAGACGGAGAAAAGAGGGGTTAATGTGAAGAATTGAGGTAAGGTTACCGGAAAAATTGGACCACGCCACATCGGTGATACTGTAACTGCGAGGGTGGATATTGACGGCTGCTATGGAGGCCGAGACACTGGCAACAGAGGGGGAACCGACAGTACCACCAATGCTGCCGATGCCGGCAGCACCGCTGCCGAACGGGCCACTTCCGAGTCCGGCGCCCAGGTTGGCGGTGGCGGAAGTGACCACAACAGCTGATGCGGCTGTCCCGACCGCAGGACCCGAGGACCCTGAGGCAAAACCAACAGCCAGACAACCAGCACCAGGGGTGCCCGTGACGAGAGAGGTAGGAGCGGCGCTGGTGGTGGTGGTGGGGTTTGTGGTACCGGCAAATGTGGAGGAGGACAGGAGTTGTGTTGATGGACCTGCGGAGCCGATACCTTGTCCGAGGGCTGCGCCGAGGTCTCCTTGAGGTAGATCGCTCCCGGCTGATCCACTGGGGGGCCCGGTAGGTCGCGAGGGGTTCTTCACCCTGTGTATCTGGAGGAATTTAGGGTGTAGATGGAAAGAGAAGGTGATAAGTGGATAAAAAGAGAGTGAAAAGAGAGGAAAGAAGAAACAAAATATGTTGACCTCCTACAGAATGTCGAGAAGCTAAATAGCTTCATTGACCCAGACTTCGCATAGCGACTATAAGTGATTGAAATATGCAGTTTACAAGGTTTTCATATTCATTTTTAGGGTCATATTAGTGTAGATAAAGCTTACAAATAAAT